AATTTCAGGCTTAAGAAGCGAATCCAGACCAGAATGATTGGTCGTTCCGTCTATGGGAATGTCTGTTTTGAGTGACTTACCATAGGCTAAGACAATATAGTACACCACTTGAGTAAAATAATGAAATTTCAGGCTTAAGAAGCGAATCCAAACCAGAATGAGTGGTCGTTCCGTCTATGGGTCAAAATTCACTGATCATTTCAAAATCTTCGTTGCTCTGTTATCAATCTAGATTAATCTTCTAGCAAGTAATCGTGTGTAAGTCTTTTCATTATTAAGTTGAATAAGGACTTGTCTTTCATATAAAAGTCCAAATTTTCAATCCCAAACAGGGTGTATAAGCTAAAATTTCTTACGAATAAACTCTATTTTCGAATGATCTTAAAGAAATTTTCCGACCAAATTCAGACGACAGGAGAAAACAAGCTGATTACATTCTACTTCCGTAAAAAAAAAAAAATGTTTGGCTTCTCATTTTTTCTATCAGGTTTCTTGATGTCTTTCGCTAACGCTAATGAAGGGGGGAAGAAGCACGATTTAGGAGTACCTAAGGCGTGGGCACCCGCAAGGGCATCAACATACGTTCTGTCCGAAGCCATCTCCAATTGAAGGAGGCGCGACGTTAAGAACAATGAAGTTGCAGTGAAAGAAAGAGTAAACACCGAAGAAGGATCAGCGAAAACTCCTTCGAAGTCGAGTAAAGGACGAAAGGTACAAACGTCCTTCAACGAGCAACCGAAAATAAAAGGGTCGAATTTTTCTTCTTCGAGCACGAGGAAGGACGAGCGAGTCCTCTAGGACGGGAGCCAACTAACAAATTGTTAAGTTTGCTGTCAATACCCAAAACAACTAATGTATAATCCATCAAGTTTGGTAGTAGGCCTCCATTCTTCTTCTTCCTGAATGTGTAAACTTGTCATTCCTCATCCGAATATTGACTCATCTGATCAGTGGATTAGTCCAAAGATTGTCGGACAGGTGTAGGCTGTTGCACATCACGAGCCATGTGCCTGACTAACAGTAACAACTTGCTCGATTTGATGAGGCGGTAGAAACGTAGTAGAAATATTGACACCCGTTACATCAATGATAGGTTCTAGGATAGGTGAAGTATGAAATGTCTTCCCTGCCCCCACGAAAAGTCTATGACTCCCTCCTTAGCCTCTATGGCCTCTGTAGAGTAATGAAACTTCCTTCTGCCTTTTACGTTTTATGCTCTGAGGTTTGAATCTAGGAGAATTATAAAATCTGCATTGAGTTTCCATCACGCTTCTCTTGTAATATAGCATACACCCGTTTACACAATAATCAATATTCATTGTTTAAACTCCAACTTCGAGACTAACTTTTTCGTTCTGTATAAATCTTCATAGACTAAATTTTCAGGTGGATTAGTCTCTTTCAACAGGCCTACAAATTGATTGAAGCACTCTCGGGGCATATTATATTATGTTTTGATTTTCAGCATTCTAAGAGCTACAAATAACTCACAATGAGACATGCAACCCTCACACACTGGCTTTTGAACAACATTCAATAAATCATTAATGTCTGTGCCTCAGGATTTCGTGTTTCTTCCTGCTGCACTTGGCTCCCATAATGATGTCTTGTTCCATCAAAAGATTATTTTTTCAAATCTGCTTGAGTCAAATACAGGTGGAGAATAATATCTTGTCAAAGGAGTGAAGCTGAATATTGTAGGATCAACCTCCTTATGTGAAGTCCAAATCCAATAATCTAGTTGAAATCTCTGACGGTATAGATGATCTCACTTCGTCAGGCATTAGATGTGCTCAATTTCTGTGTTTTAAACATGGACATCGAAACCTACCCTCAGATAAGTAAACCGACAATTGAGATGCAGTTGCCACAAATGCCTCGGCACCATTCAAGAACTCTGTGATCCCTTCTCTATCCTGATAAAGTTTACTGTACATCCACGATCTCGATATACGAATATCCATATGTACCTTTAAACCTGAGAATAATCAATACATTTTGAAGTCCATTCAAATAAAAATCTTATATTTAATTATTATAGTACATCTACTGGCGGAGTTTTACAAAAGTCTTGACACCATTCTATTGAATATTAGATTTGAAGTCAGAACGTTAACAGTCTACTGAGACTTTTAGGGCTGTTGAAGATTGATAAATGAGGAACATTTATCCATATTTTATCTCTAATCTTGTCTGTCAATATAGATACACCAACCCTTTCACGAGTATATTTCTTTCATATTTTCTCTACAAGTATAAAATCACTGATCCACCCAGGTATTCTCGCCCTCAGAAATCCCATATGCGATTAACAACGCACCTCAAAATATATTCTTAGACGAAAATATTTCATATGATGTAAAACTTTTACTGCATTCTTTAATGCGAAGTCTAATTTTCATTTTAAAAATAATATATATATATATTAATAATTTTTACTAAGTGTCGTGTGCGTTTTTATGTCCATATTTGTTCAACATAGTTTATTACAGGTGATTTGATTTTTTATTTATAAATAATGGTTTCTTGAATTCCAATGTTTTGTTCGATTTTAGAAAAAATACCGGTTAAACTAAATTGATAATAAATATCTAATTTGAAATAATCAAAATATACAATACTATTATCATTATGTGTGTGTGTGTAATTTTATTTTGGTCTTTGCGTTTTCAAAATTTATTTTATTTTCTTTTTTAAACCAAATAAGTTAAACTTTATTACAGTTTTGTTTGATTTGGTTTGATTTATGATTTTGTTTGTTGAGTTCTACTTATAATGTGATTTGATTCAATTAGTTTATAAATCTATCAGCCAATATGACCAAATCGACTAAATGCACATCCTTAAATTAATCTAATTAAGGATATTTTTGTGATTTCTATGTAAGATAAAGTTGATCTTACAGTACAATGTTCATCATACGATACAATTAATTCAAATTTGAATTATCTTAATTACTGTAAATTGATTTGATTGCAATTTTTTTGTTTAAGGTTTTTCATTCAGTCAGACCTATATCTTACATTATGATCATTTATGATCAATTTGAATTAATTATTGATTTGTTTTTTTTTACCAAATCTTTTTGTTTGTGTGCTGTTCCTCTTAATAATCTCTATAGCTATAAATTATACAAATATTACGAAAATTTTTTTAATACCTGTAGCTCAGTCTTAACTTACTATAACTAGTATGATTTTCTTGATTTGTAAGTCTTTAAATGTCTTTGTTCATGAGCTAGCCTTAAAAACTTGAGTTATGAGTTTTCTCAAAAGTTGTGTATTTTTTTAGCGTAGATTTTTGCTCTTTCAGAAAGTGTTCATGTAGCTCTAGTTTATCTTAGGTTTTTGCTCTTTCAGAAAGTGTTCATGTAGCTCTAGCTTATCTTTGGTGGTTTGGTCACATTAAACACCGACCATCTGATGATCCGATCAGGATAGTGGATGTTTTATATTTGATTTATGTTAAGAAAGGTAGAGATAGATCTAAAGACATCGGGGCAAGTTGTATAAAAATGATCTTAATTTATTAGAATTAAATGAAAGTATGCACTCTGTAGGACAAAATGGATAAAAATGATTCATGTAATCGACTCAACTTAGTGGGATAAAAGCTTGTTGTTGCTGTAGTGTTTGGCGCTGATGTTAGTACCTAAATCTACATCAATCTAAGTCAATAATATTAGTTCAATCATATTATATTACTGATTATCAAAATATTGTGGTACTGGTAGAAGATGCATTAATAATATGGGTATATATAACTAATATGAAATGATTATGTAAGAAAAGGACAGATTAAATTTAATATGGCTTGAAGAGTTTGTAGTCACAAATTATGAATGAACGAAGATTTATATTAGAACTTCTGAAAATAGGAGTTCATAATATGATAATGTTGATGGGGGTTCACTTCTTAAAAATAGTGAAATGAGGATTTATAATGTTGACACCAATTAGTTATGATAAAGCTGCTGCTACTAATGATTATCATGAATTGTAGGCTAGACTAGTTAATTGATTAATGATATTGAACACAGAACACATTTGAACCATTTAATTACAATCTCTACTGCTGAAACTAATACTCCATTGTATTATTTATTATACGCTTCTTTTGTGGCTTTATGTTTCTCTTTCATTTGTAGATTATACTTTTTGAGAAATGGTTATATTACGGTGATGATGGGAGCAAGACTAGTGCATATAATAATAGAAAATACACTGTGCTAATTTTGAATGTAAAAACAATATGGTTTTTATCTGCATCAACAAGATGATATAAAAGTAATTTTTCATGGAGTAGAAATGGGTAAATCTGATATAACATGGCTAGAAGGTGTTTGCTTAAAATTCAAACAAAATAAGTTAACGCCTTATGTAGCACTGAAAAGGAAATTAACAGAGGATGATTTACACTTACATCCTCAAAATAGTTGGGATAAGGTTAACTGATGTGTAGATAAGATGTTCAACCTACCCTTTTAGTTTTTGCTGGTATGGTTTTAGTTGTTCACTAAAAGCTGATGATCAGTAAGAATAATTTTTTTAAGATCTTCCAATCTCTTGTTTCGGCTGGATAATTCTGTGAAAGCTGGGCTGTTTAATTTGTGAAACATTGCATTTATAGATACTTGTCAAGCTTTTAAGTCAAAATTTAAACTTCTGCTCATCTTCCTGTATGTTCTGATGTAATAACTGAATAAAAATTTATTTAGGAGGAAATAGGTTCATTTCTTATTTGTGCTTCTATACATTCTAAGGCTAGTCTTGATGATTATAACTGGTAGTCACTGGTTTCTATGTGCAAAATCAAACATGCGTGACATGTAAAAGTGCCTTTTGACAAACATGTAATGTTTCAATGCTGAAATTCAACTTGACTCTTTGAATTGTTGGTTATGACAATCTGCTAGTATAAGAGTAATTTGATCTCTTTGTTAAAATGTTAATCTAGAACTTTTGGGCTTTGTTTGGTTTTATTTTATTTTATTTGCTCAGAGGAAGCCTATAAGAATGATGGGTGTTTTTGAGGATGAAATTAAAGAAGTTTCACAAAATAACACGAGACCAGACCTCAGAATAGCTGGTTTTGAAGAGGAAGACAATCGATTGAGACAGCTATCTTCCTATAAACCTCAAGATTCTCTTAAACTTCCACAAGGTCCTTACATATTTTGTGATTTCCGCACGCTGGAGCTACCTGGGATTAAGGTTGGTAGTTTTACTTCTTATCTGTAAATTAAAATTGATATTGCTAGCATTATTTTCATGAGAAAATTTTGGTGTAGCTTTTGAGCTTTTCTGTTTTTTCACAAGAACGTTCATCTCCTCCCAGCTATTTTTATTTAACTTTTACACAACCTGACTCTCTGCTCCTAGTCATTGACTCTCTGCTCCTAGTCATAGAACACATCTCAAAGAGTGAAAAACATCCTGAATTTATTTAAAATTTAACATTTTTTTAATTTTTTAGTCTCTTTAATTTATTTGATTTTCTTATTCTTTATTATTTATTCAGTTAAATCTGCCGTCTGCTAAGGCACTGAGAATAATGCACACACTTGCTTGTGATCCTGGAATAACTGCCATTATGAATAAGGTAGATAAGTATTTTTATGTAGCAATAATCTATGTCGTGGTTAATTTTTCCCATTTTTCACATCTGGTACCTCTGTCATTTTGTAGCACCGCTGGAGGGTGGGGATAATGACAGAGTTAGCTCCGGTTGGATATGTTGGTATCAGTCCTAAATGCATACTGGGATTAAATAAGGTGAAATCTTATGTCTCAATCTTTTACTTCCACATGGTCAAGTAACTGAGCATTGATGCATTTGATTGGAGGAGAATGGGTGAAGACTAACAATATTTTCTCGTCATGCATTTAACTTCTTGTTCATTTAGAATCATGGAGAAGAAATTTCTCTTCGCCTTCGGACTGATGATCTAGAAGGATTTAGGAAATATGAAAGTATAAAGAAAACCCTGATACATGAACTTGTATGTATTTTTCTCATCTTTGCTGCTTCTTACTCATATAATTTTAATAATTATCTGTAAACCTGTTATTAAAATTTATTTACTTTTTTCAGGCCCATATGGTGCACTCTGAACATGACACCAAGTTCTTAGCCCTAGAGAAGCAAGTAATATTTTATATAATTTGAGCACTTTCTGGATGATGAGACAAAATCCTAATTTTTATTTTATTTGGTATTATTAGCTGAATGATGAAGCTGCAAGCCTAGATTGGTCAAAGTCAAGAAGTCGCACTTTAAGTGGTCACAAGGTTTCCAATTATTATAAGGATGACGTAGATCACCTTTTGGAGGCTGCTGATGTAGGCCACAAGCTTGGAGGATCTAATTCATTTTCTACTGCACGCACATCCTCTGTAGCAGCTGCTTTCCGTCGCTATATGAGTTCGAGTATGGGTACCTCGTCGGAGTTTCAAGCGGGGAATGAATCTGTACAGGTGGATGCTGTTAATGATTCTTTTGACAATGAACGTGCTGACGAAAAACATAAACATGTTAGAGATGACGAAAGTTCTGAGCCTGATCTAATGCATGCTGGTATCATACATGAAAGTTTGGCGCCCTCCTTAGAAATTACCATGATAGATGAGGATGATGGTGATGCTCCAGATGGTTCCATGGATTCTTCCATTGATGAATCTTATTCTGATAAAACACTAAGTGGCAGGCACAAGAAATTCCTTCCAGCACGTGAAACAAATGATTCAGCACTTACTCAAACTCAAATCCGTGATCTGATGAAGAATGAAACAGAACCAGATGCTTATGATGCTGCTAAACAAACTAGCGAATGGATTTCATTTCTGGAATAAGAAGTGAAGAACCTGATCCTGATAACGAAGCTGAAGGGGTTTCACACGAAAGTGTGCGTGAAGTGAAACGAGGGTTGATCAGTTCCTTGGATGCAGACAATTTAGAATTGCAAAGAATTGAAGAGCCTGTGGCTGCCATCTGTGCTCGGATTCAAGAATCCATCAAGTTACTGAGATCTGAATTAACTCCTCATGCTGCTGCCTCGGTTCTTCAGACACTCTCAAAGATCATCAGGTTTTCTTATGATGCTAATAACATCAATTTGATTCTTATGTCTATTTACGTTCTTTATGGCTTAGTTTTATGCTTCCAAACATTGTGTAATTTCACTGCAGGAATATCATAGAACACCCAGGTGAACAAAAATTCAGAAGAATAAGAAAAGTACACTTTCTTTTCCTTTTTTTTGGAAATTTTTTTATTTATTATGTATAGAGGCCACTCAACCGTCTGTATTTTATTGATAATCTTGCAGGATAATGCACATTTTCAGAGGAATGTGGCAAATTATAAAGGTCATATATCCTCACATTATGTCCATTATGTACCTTCTATGCGCGGATAACATAATTATTAAATTTTTTGTATCATATTTGATGTTATAAGCTGATGATCTTCTGCTTACGAACAGCTGCAATGGAGGTTCTCAAGACGGTGGGCTTCATGGAAGATGTTGTAGTAGATGCGGTTGGTGTTGCTGAAGCTTATTTGGTGCTCAAAAGGAACGATCCTGGATTGCTTTGGCTTGCTAAATCTTCTCTCGAGATGTTCATTTCCTGATTCCACCGTTTCATTCATTTATTTGTATACTTAAATGTGTGTATTTATATACAAATCAAAACATAATTATAGAAATAAACAGAAAGCTTTACAGAAATTGCTGGTGAAGTTCTTGTAAACAGCTTTTTATCTTTTGTATGTTTATTGAAATGTGAATTCAGATCCTGTTGTACATGCATTTGTATGTAGTATTCCAGATGAAAGGTGTATCTTAATGATATTCAAGGCTCACCTGGTTGCTTGTAAAAATAGTGTTTTAAAATATATTGAATGTACTGTAGATTGGGTTCGAATATGCACAACTTATCCTTTATTATTACATATTCAAAAATTGTTCAGGAGGCACTGAAGGCAACGATGTTGCAAAACTTTTTTGTTATAATGGTTTTTTTGAGGATAAATACATGATAATGTTAGAATAAAGAGTTTAGTTATGTTGATTGAATTGTATGAATGGAACTACCATATGGACAATCGATTTGATACACGGGAAATCGGCGGATGAATGATGTTAAATCATAGGTGAGAGCAAAATGGTATATTGGTGAGAATAACGATGATCACAATGGAAGCTCTTATATTCTTTTGCAGCTTAAAATAGTTTTTGCATTGAACCTAAACCTATCAGGTGAATTAGTTGCAAGCCTATTTATATTTGCATAAGTTTGAGTTATTATAAACCTTGGATAAGTTGTGATCAAATGTTCCATTTTTAACATTTGAAAGCAACAGAAAAAACTCTATTGTTTCCATCATTTTGAATCAAAGTGCAATATCATTGCTTGAAGTAGAGAAAATTATAGAACACAGTAAGAAGTATTGGAAGCAAAACCCTTCAAAATGGCTTCAAGTTGGCTTTGTAGAAGCCTGCATGTATTATTGTTCACAATTACTTTCATAACATGTGGAAAGAACCATTGTCAATCCTGTGATGATAATTTATCTTATATCATGGACTAATTTTTAAGAATAAGAGTGCGATGCTTGATTTAACTGGCTTAATCACGTGTAGGG